CATTATATTATATACTGGGTGGGGGCAGCCTAAGGGAATCAAAGGATTTGTTGACTGGACGAGGGTTCGTAGATTTGCCAGTCCATTGTCACGTGATTACAGATGGCCATCTGGTCGTTTTGTCTTCCAAAGGTCTTCAATGAAGCTGTTTCACACTGCTGCAACAAACCATCAGGCAGAACTTTACAACCGGTAAAGTATCTGCAGACATTGGTAATCCTTGCACTGATGGTGGGTTCCATTCACATCGCATCAAATCACTTGTCGAGGAGAAGTTTCGAGAACTTCCGACAAGAATTTCAGAGAACTTCCAAGTAGAAGTTCAGAGAACTTCCAAGCAGACGTTCAGAGAGCTTGTGACGAGAAGTTCTGAGATCTTCCGAGGAGAAGTTCAGAGAACTTTCGAAGGGACGTTCCGAGAGCAAGTTTAGAGAACTTCCGAAGAATATCTCAGAGACGGTCTCTAAACATCTAGTCGGATGTTCTTTGAAGTTTTCGTCGAAAGGTCTCTGCATTTCTCGTCAGTATTTCTATATGAACTTCTCTAATGAGAGAGAGAATGATTAGTAATTTCCATTTAATTCCACTACCTTATTTGCTTATCCTTGACAGATCCGCGTATTTCGTCAACAATGTGCAGACTTCTTCAGTGTCTTGTACTAATACTCGACTATTAGTACAAGACACTGAAGAAGTCTGCACATTGTAGACGAAATACGCGGATCTGTCAAGGATAAGCAAATAAGGTAGTGGAATTAAATGGAAATTACTAATCCTTCTCTCTCTCTCTCATTATACAGGTATTCCACTAAGACGCTCACATTCATCAGGATATGAACTTCTCGTCAGAACATATCGGAAGCTCCGTGATCTTTTCAGACCATATTTACTACACTGCAGCAAACGCTGCGATGCATATTTCGTCATGTTGTGTTTCCTGGAGTATGCTCGGATTGATTCGTTTCACCTTCACCGAAATCACAGCGACTGTTTTCTGGTTCAACAATTGAAAATGGCCTATCAGTAAACGAAACTTCGGAAGTCCTTTACTCGCAAAGTGTAGACCACCCACGCAAACCAACAGTATCATCGTGTAGGGGAAAGTTGTTTAAGTATAGGCCTTTTTAATAGAAACTAAGCGATCGATTCAACCTCTGGTGGTGAATAGGACAACGTCCAAAAGAGTGTTGTGAGCATAAATGTTTGCCTTGAGACATAGGAAGCGGAACACTTTTTTACTTTTCCTGATAAATTGATTCATCTGAGATGCTGCAAAACTTAATCTACAGTTGAAAAATTTAATTCTGTAACTTTTTTGAAAAGATCCTGCTGGTGTTCAGGAATATTTTTATTGGAAAAAATGGAAAATTAGAAAAGTGCCTTAGTGGTTATGATCTTCCGGATTTCTTGTGTGTGAATAGTTAAGGTGCAAATCAGTTCAGATTTGTGGAGAATCGTACAATAAGATAATTACCGATTTAAATTGGTAAGATTTTGAATGAAAAATGCTGTTATTTGCGTTGGGGAAAATACTTATTCTGATGTAAACAAACGGTTTGGTTGACGTTTCTTCTCGAACTCGCGTGGCGCACTCTACATTGGTGGTGCATTAAAAAGGCGTATAGCAGTATAGCATGACTTGCAAATGCTTTAGATTAAATAGCAATATTGAATAGCAATGATTATCAAATTCCATATCATGGATACAAAAATCTTTTGTTGGTAGAGCAAACTTCCTCCATCATAAAATATACATTCTTTGGTTTCCACGCTTTACCAATGTACCACCTCTGATAGCGATGACTTTGTTTCCACTAGAAATGTTCAGAGGGAGAGATAGGCGGAGAAAACAAAATACAATTCGGCGGCTGGGATTTGTTTCTAAATTATCTTGCAACCCTTGCTAGAAGCTCAAATGACTTTTATTTTTGATTCGATTTACGTGCAAAATATGTAATGATTGCATTGCAATATTTTGCACATTTCTTGGTGCCATATTAACCAACGAAGATCAATTAGTCAATAGAGTTAAAATATTGTTTTTGGTTCCAAAAACTAGTTGAATTTGAGAAGCACACAAAACATAAAAGTGCTTGAATTTCTGTTCGATTGCAATACTCTCAAATTTATTCTACTAAGAATAAGAAATCATCGGAAAAATTTTAATTGGAATGTTCGATTGGCTCAGATTTTGACAGTTCATTTGGCTCAAAACATTCTCTCCGCCCATCTCTCCCTCTGAGTATTTCCAGTTTCCACTGAGGTTTCCACCTCGTTTGTCAGCTCAGATTAGCAAATGACATTCGATAGATTTAATTATCAATGTTCATCCTGTATTCGAAAGAAGCATCATCTGATTACAAAACAACCGTCATCCGGTTGCAGCTATCATTCGAAAAAGCGTTTGTGATGTTCTTCTTCTTCTTCTTCTTCTCATTTTCCTTTATTTAACGTCGGTCTCTGTTCCGCAATCTAGTGCCAATCACCGACGGACATCGATTGCCATCCATTGACGGCAACCGAATGTGCAGGAAAGCAGCTTCCACACCTGCGTAAGATATCGCACCCATTCACAACACACATGGGCCGGGACCAACGGCTTTACTTCCCGTCCGAAGGAAGACGTGACCAGAGATTTTTATGCCTCAGAAAAATCCCACCGACCTCCGCTGGGATTGAACCCAGACCCATTAGGGTGTTAGAAAGCAGTCACGCTTACCACTACATCACCGGCGCCGGCATGTTTCGATTTGAATGGTCTGAGGTTACATTCGAACAGAGGATGATGTTTTTGTACAGTGTAAACGATAAAGAATATCTAGATAGAGCTGGAATTAGGGCCTAACAGCCTTTGTAAACAATTGACCACTTTGTCAAGCAGTTTTGGCGTGACTTTCTACCAGCGATTTCACAAAACTGGACCAAATAATTTCTATTTTTTTTATGAAACGCACAAATGTTGGCTACACGGATAGAAATCTCCTTATACCTTTTGGCAAATTTCTATTGCTGATTATTCATAAAATGTATAAGTCAACTAATAAGCAGACGCCTTGCAAAAAGTTAATGAAGCTCATGCGTCAAATGAAATGTATAAGTGGTCACACATACCTTTTATGCATTTTTGTAGGACCTATGTGGTTTGTCTTGTGGAATGTATAAGGCTGATGCTTTGGCAAAAATATATAAGTGAAACACATGAATAAAATAATTGATTTTCGTTTCGTGTAGGACCTATGTGGTTTGTATTATGGAATGTATAAGGTTGATGTTTTGGCAGAAATGTATAAGTGAAACACATGAATAAAATAATTGATTTTCGTTTCGTGTCTAGTTTCGACTTTCGTGTACTTTTCTCGAGGTTCTAGAAGAAAAAATCTCAAAATAATGTTTCATTTCAAAGTTTGAGTGGTAATAAACGTCATTTTAACTACTCGAATGAAGTAGCTAATTGCGCTGTCAAAGAGCGGAACCAATCGAGCAAATCACAACCAACAACATAAAAGAGCACATCAGCTATTGCGAACAAAACTTCGGAAACCGTTTTCTCGTGATTCAAGGCTTGCCTACGCAAACTAACACTATCTTTGGGTTGGGGAAAGATTCCCCTATCCGATGATGGCGGTAATTTGCGTTCGATTGTCGAGGAAAGAATAACCGACGTTTTGTTTATAAAAGTTGATAGGACCTTTTAAATTGTTGGTCTACAATATATTGAATTGGTTCCGCTTTTTGATAGATCGTAATTCTATCCGCCAGACTATGAATATAGCGACTATAGTGTGAACACCACCAAACAGGGGGGTTTGACAAAGTGTGTCGAAAGTAAAATCGAGCAGATTTTTCAATATGGCGGTGGTCAAAATCAGACCAAGAAATCAGATAGTCTAAACGGACCTTTAGTGAAAATCCGAGACAAAAAAAAATACAAATCACTGTCAAACTCATTTTGACAGATCCAATATCATACATTTTCTAGGTTAGCCAGAGGAAAATAATAAGCAACTTTACATGGTGATGCTCCCGCTAGTGTGCGTGTGTTAAACGTTACTAATCTCTATTAATTATTTAGATTTTTTAAAATCTGGATTAAATCGCGTATTCTTCTCGATGGAGCCTTATCGCTATAATGGCGGTAAGCTCCAACTCGGATTAACTTTTAATACCGTCCCTGTTTGTATGATCTGAAAAATGTTTGCTCAGAATTATGTTGATTAACTCTGATGTCGACATCAAACCAGCCGGACATTCTTGATCGGGATTTAATCCGAGGATAATACCGGTTGGAGCTTACCACCATAAGTGAAGTCCAATCGAGTTATTATTTCAAAGCACTTTTCTGACCACGAATTACAATTGGCAAATCAAAGTTGGCACGCGTGGAGAATAGAAGAACTATGAAAGTGATGATGGTTTCAAAATTTTCCACGGGGAAGTATACGAGTGCAATCTTAAAATGCTTTTATTTTGTGAATGGAGCATTTTATTTAAATCTGGTAAGTGCTACGTTAGTAGAAAACTTCAGGACTACTCAATAGACATATAATACAGAAAACTTAATTTCTTTTCAGATTTTTAGGTGTAAACATAGACTTCCGCTTTTCTACCACTGTAGCAGTAACCAGATTTAAATAAAATGCTCTATTTTCAAAATAAAAGCATTTTAAGATTGCACTCGTATACTTACCCGTACAAAATTTTGAAACCATCATCACTTTCATAGTTCTTCTATTCTCCACGAGTGCCAACTTTGATTTGCCAATAAGAATCAACCAAATTCCCCATTCAACTTTTCACACCAACTTGTATGCAACTTTATCACTTTTATGCTCGCCACCAGATCCCGCTACAAACCGCCCATTCGAAGCATAGATTCACCCACCCACATGTCGTCGTCACTCACAGCGACTCCACGACCTACGTTCAATTCATTCTCCACACGAACAACATCTCGCGAGCACATTCCCATCCGAAGTTCCACCGCACGCTCAGTTATCGAACGGACTTGCCAGCGCACGGATCTCTCCATAGCTGTCGGATCGGGGTCGCCGTCGGACGGACTAGCAGCATCAGAGGAGAGCATTAGCAACATACCATCGCAGTGTGTTGGAGGGAGTAGGAGTACACAGCTTGGCTTGGTGATATTCGGTGCGAGTGTGTCGGTGCTGCAAGTGTGTCGCCTGTGTCTACTCCATCTCTAGTGGTGTAGTAGGAGCGTAACGTAGAGCAGATAATAAATTCAGTCAGCCCAGCAGCACCAACGCTGGTGTCCTCCTCCGTGTCGTTGAATAGCGCATCGTCAGCAACGGGAGCCATTCGCGTGGAACTTGTTGGGTTTAGTGTGTAGTCGGTCGTTATAGTGCTGTTCCGAGGAGAAATCGACGACGCCGAGCTGACCTTATGTAATTCGTGCGGGTCCCGTGCCGTGTCGGTGAAAATCTTTCCGTGATTACGGGAAATCAACCTTTCGTCGTTGCCGTCGCCGTGAGTGAGTGGGTGGGTGTGTGAACCCCTCGGAAGAAAGAAAAAAAAAGCTCTCCCGGAGTGCGTGTGGCTCTAAATACCCACCTCCGACCGAGCAGCATTAGGCGTGGTAGTGTTTTTCCCCTGTGAAGTGTGCGGAGCGAGGTGTGGTGGATTGTCGTCGGGCGAGTAAAAAAAATAAAGTAATGGAGTGAGAGGAGCAAAGCGCCGCCATCGGTGATAAGATTAGAAAATTCAATAGTGAGATTTTCCATATTGAGGCCTGTGTGCAAATTCCAAATTGCGCTTGGGAAGTTCAGCTAGTTATTCAGCCGAAGTGAGTCGGGAAAAAAGAAGAACAATGGATAAATCCGGAGGAGGTGATTCGCGTGACGGAGGACCCTCGTCGACTCCGCAGGCATCATCATCATCATCAACAGCAGCAGCAGCAACACAGCAAACTTCAACAATTCCGGCCATTGGGTGTGGTTCCAGTTCCAGCTCTGGACCGTCATCTGCCACCGCCATGACGCTGAACGTCACCACCACAACGGGCGGCAGCTTTTCCGTACTCGTCGACGGTGAAAATTCCGTGGAAAACCTCAAGAAAATCATATCGAAAAAGCTGAAAGTCTCCAAGGACCGTATATGTTTGCTGCACCGCGAGAGGTACGTATCCCAGCAGGGCGAGAGAAACTGTAGGCACACAAATCCACACTCACTCACTCGAGTGAACCGTGAGAGCAGCGCTTTACTTTCTACACCCAGACCTCACCATCCGCAACCATACAAATTTCCTGTATTTCTCTTTGTTTACGTTGCGTGTGTGAGTGATGATCATGCAATTATTTTACACTTTTTCGCTTTTCGCTACCTCAATAACCGACCGCCAGCCACTTCTCCGCGACCGACGAGGGGGCAGCCTTCAAGCTTCAAAGAGCCCAGAAAAGTCTCTTCCTATTCCGCAATCGAAGGAGGTGTACCCTCCTCTCGTCCCCATCACAAACCCTCAAAATAATGCCCACGGCTCGGGCGAAGTAGGCTTCAGCTAGTGTCCAAAAATCGGCGATTACTGCGCTGCTGCCATTTTGTTTCGCTTCGAATGGCAGCAGCAGCAGCAGAGTTCGATATTCTCGCCACTCGTCGCCGCAATACACACGTCGACGACGACGGCGGCAGTGGCGGCACACAAAACACCATCACCGAACCGATGTGACGTGTGCCATTCTCGACGTCACGTTGTCTTATTTTTTTTTTCGCGACGACGAATTTCATGGGTAGGGGGAATGGGTTGGAAGTTTTGGAGAGGATGTGGGGGGGTGGGCAATTTGAGCTGATAGGCCCCCTCGTTGGCGATGTCGTCTGCCTTTGTGCGGCTAGGAAAGGAGTGGGCGAAATGGGTGGAATGGAACAATGGATTATATTCGGGTGTTGTTCTGAGTGGGAGATGCTTTGCTTCGGGCTCGAGACGATGAGTCTACACAAGCTGCTTTGTACCTACATGATGCCTATGCTTGTGGCATGTACAGCGACCTTCAAAGGTAGTTAAATTTGGTTTTGCAATGATACGATACTGGGACTATTTGACATTAAATTTAAAGTCTGGTGAAGTTTCAGCTTCGCGTTTTCAGGGGTTCAAATCTCATCGTCCAGAAGCAGTGCAGATTGAATTCCATGCTTGATTTCCTGCACCAATCACTGAGTAGCATTTTTAGCTTCAAGAAGACCGTCAATTATGTGCTTGAGAAAAAGCGAAGTGGTGAAGTAAATGGTACGAGGGAAGGCCACCGTGAATCAAGAAACGCGCTGACTGCTCTTTGCCTCTGACTAGAAGTTCGCTTCAAACTATCAAATTTACTCAACATTGTGAAATCGATTGCGTATCAGTTCCTCTTAATTTAGGCAAGGGGCCCCTATATTGGTTGAAACGAAGTGGGCTTATACTGTGATTCCGAATGTCTTATGACAAACTTCATAGGTCTTTATGAGTTAACTATCTAATGATCAGGGGAAAATTTAAACTAGGGTCTAGCTTTCCACAAAGTTTATGTTGGTAAGAAGATCAAGTTCTTCCAAATGATAATGATGAACACAAGGGGTATTTTTCTGCACACCTCAATCTGTACCGAGAACTTTATCTGTGCCGAAAGCTGAGGCAAGCGATGGGCCAAGTGTGCCAAAGTGTGGCAATCAAGCTGTCGATCTCAGTATCCCATGAGTTTGGCAACCTTGCAGTTATGACTTTTGATATTGTTTGTTTACATTGCCAAGTTCTCATGGATGGTTAAGCGAACTATATTTGTGTATATTGAATAGTATATACGAGGGTAATCACTGTGCCTGTTCTGTTAAAAAGTAAAACGTGCTTCAAATAACACGAATGTAAGTTTTTCTTAGTACAACATTCATTCCTCTTGCTTTAACAATGCCAAACGAGTGATCGTTGTCAACCATCAAGTTCAACTCCTCCACTAGAAGGATAAGGGTGAGTGATGGCAGAAGCTGTCCATCCAGGACAAGAAATTCCTTTACCGTGTCTCATTCTAGTAGACGTTACTCGAAACCTGTACTTATGACCCACCTGGCAAGTGGAAGATGTACCTCTACATTATCATCATGGTACTCGAACAATGCTACAACCTAGAAATCAAGAAGGATTCGACCTAGAACTCCCACTTGCGATAGTAGAAGCAGCAATAGACCTTCAGTTGCTCCAAGATCTACTGATGCCACCAGCCACAGTCAATCGCATCTCCGATATCGTTCAGTCCATAGAATGGAGTGGTTCTGCGGGAAAAACTGCTGCGGTTACAGTTGCATTTGCACAATGGCGGGATCGTTCTGTGCCGGGTTGTTGTTGACACCGTACATCAATGCTGCAATTGGAACTGGATTCTGCAATTATCCTTGTTTATACAATTTACTTTCAGTCCGTATCCTATTGCCATCTGGGGCTAATACGTATGCAGGCCTATTCTGACCCAAAATATGAATCCTTGCGATTGCGTTTACTTCGTTAGCAACGCTTGTTAAAATGTCAACTCAAAGCAGTGATGCCATTTTATATTATATTCTATCTCATACTTATCATCGAGTGCCCTAACGTGCCGATCAGTGTGCTACGATGTGTTTCGGCACAGTGTGCAGCGTTGATTGCCCCTTGTATGAACAGATAAAATTTGGAATTCGGTCACTACGCGACGCTAATGTAAGCGTCGTAAACTTATTTCTCGTCATATTGTGGTCGAACTGATAGCTCACATCATTTAATCTTATGAGGCGGTGCCTCGGAATCTACAGGAGATGTACTCCTTCCAAGCGGTTACTTAATACGTCAAATGCAAACAGTCTCTGCAAGTAAACCCTGCAATGGTGAAGAGGCTTTAGACTTATCAGTTGACATCGTTGTTCGTATGGAGGCAGTCGAAGAGGGTCCCTCCACGGCGGGTTCCACAAAGCAAATCTGATGAAATAACGTAACTCTTTCTAGCCGGTAGGCACAATTCCTCTAATCTACTAACAACTAATTAGCTGAGCTAACATTGTATTTTTTTCCATGATTTGTTTTCCGTACTGACTAATTCCGGAGAACTTTGAGATTTGGGCGTAATTTCTTTTGTAAACAAACACGTCAATCGCCGATTGCTCGCGAATAAAAGCTCAATCTTGCAAACAAACTATACCAAATGATAGAGGAGTCATTCATCTACCTGTTTGTGTTGTTAGTTTTCGACTTCTTCTTCTTCCTCGCATTTCAAGCTTTTTGCGTATGGCATATCAGCTTTTTGCGTGCTCTCAATTAGTGTTCTAGTTGCACTTCCACAGTTATTAATTGAGAGCTTTCGATGCCTGCACCATTTTTGCATTGGTATAGTTTTGTGGCAAGTCCAATCATACTTCTATGCCCAGGTAAGTCGAGAAATTTTCCAACCCGAAAAATTCCTAAACCGGACCGGGAACCGAACCCAGCCACCTCCAGCATGGTCTTGCTTTGTAGCTGTGCCTTTACCGACTGAGCTAAGGGAGGTCTTCGAGATTGAGCTTTAATTAGCGAGAAATCGGTGATTGACATGTTTGTTTAAACAAAAGCAATTACGCCCTAATCTCGAAGTTCTCCGGACTTATGCTATCGACGCCAGGGAGGCGGAAAGTACACCGCACAGAGAAACAAGGTACGATCGCCCAGTTTGATCGACGTCCACACCTGCTCTCAGCATATCCAAGCATTATTTTCTAGTAACCTCGCTTTAAACCTAGAATTTACAACCACTAAAACACCTCCACCTTTAGCTTTCCAGCTATTAGCAGCATTCCTATCGCAACGCGAAACTTCGTAATCGTCGCCGAACACCTGACGAGAGAGTGTGCGTGAATCCAACCATGTCTCCGTGAGAATGACGTCTTAGCAAAGATCCGAGGTAGCTACGCAAAAATCGTCGACATCACAGTTGATACCACCGACGTTCTGGAGCGTCTCGAATGAACTAAATTCTCCTTTTGCAGGGGAACAGCTTAAAGAGACGTTAATAAACTTATCCACCGACGTTTTGGTAGTAGACGGATATCTCATGCTGGCGGTTGGCAGGATGGATGCATGGACATGATGTGGCTAGTGCGGAGGCCGCAGAACCGGAAACACAGCTAGAAGTTGAAGCGGTATCCAGCAAAGGAGAAACTGAATCGTCCCCTCAGGGCCGAGACGACTATGCTGAGCGCTGGCTAGAGTAAGCGCGACTGAGGCAGAGAAATAGCGTTTCGTAAGAACGGTGTGCAAGTAGGTCCGTTGTCGGGCAAAAAAAATTCAGAAAACCCCGTTTCTCGACTCAAGCGCAGGACCGGGATGTCTGCTAGTCGCTGGCAGGAAGGGTTCGAATGCGGAGAGTGGAAAAGGGGCTTCCTCAAGGCGAGCGACAAGAGTGCGGCTAGTACAGGAGGCTCCGGGAAACCAACTGGCAGATTTAGTTTCTTTGGCACTGATATTCGGATCAACATCAGGCTCCGAAAGCTCACAATTGCAGTAGTACTTGCCTGATGTAGCAAGCTGGGAAATCCTCAGCCTACATCTACTCAGGGCCAGGACGACTTGAATAAAAGCAGGCAGTAATAGGTGCGACTGAGCTAGAGCTAGAGCTGGGGTTTCCCAAAATGTTTTCTACGGTGCGTCCTGGTGCAGCATTATTCTTGGAGATCGTGGAAACATCTACGGTGTGTTCCGGATGAGCAGAACGCATCGTTTAGCCTTGAGGGAATCGGGAGAACCTAGATGCGGGGCCTCCCTTAGCTCAGTCGGTAAAGGCGCAGCTACAAAGCAAGACCATGCTGGAGGTGACTGGGTTCGATTCCCGGTCCGGTCTAGGAATTTTTCGGGTTGAAAAATTTCTTGACTTCCCTGGGCATAGAAGTATGATTGGATTTGCCACACAATTATACCAATGCAAAAATGGTACAGGCATCGAAAGCTCTCAATTAATAACTGTGGAAGTGCATCTAGAACACTAAGTTGAGAGCACGCAATAAGCTTAAAATGCGAAGAAGAAGAAGATGCGGGAAAACTCATCACACAACTCCCTTTTCACCGCCCACCTCAGGTCCGGGACGACTATGATGAACGAAGGCGGCAGTACGGCAGGACTGAATTGGGGTTATTAGGAGCTTCCATCAGGCTTTCT